CCATTATAGGTTATTACAAGATACTGAATATAGTTCCCTGTGCTATACAGTAGGTCCTTGTTGTTTACCTATTTTATATATAGTAGTGTGTATCTGTTAATCCCAAATTCTGAATTTATCCCTCCCCCCTGCCACCTAGTAATTTTTAAATGGAAAGGAAAAAGGAAAGCTGGGCTGCCCATTCCCGCCTGTCCGCACCCAGTCTTGCAAACGGCTTCCCCAACTCGGTTATTCACGACCTCTCAGACAGAAGGAGGTGGGCCCTGAAGTACCTTAGGATTCTATAAGAAGCAAGTCCAGACCGTCCAGGCACTGAGGACAGAGACATTGAGTAAATGACCAAATGCCTTGGGTGTGGAGAGGCTCTCTTCTTAGCAGTCAATGCCATGGGGCATTTCCCACCTCCGTGGGACACCACGCTGTGTGTCCTTAGAAAGGCAGCCACATGTAGGAGCTCACTGGATTTTGTTCCAGCTGGTTAGAGGTTTTGATTGTTTTGCAAATACAAAGTTTACCCCAAGGATACGGCTGACTCAACCGTCTCACTGCAAACCTCCAGGAAGACCAAAAAGGGAAATCATTAAGATTTTAGGCAAACTTTCAGCTTCCTTCTGTTACATCTAGTAGATAACATGCCAAAGAATTTGAATATAGCAACCCTCCCACGAGGAAAGAAAGGCTGTGGATGAAGACATTTACTGTACAGTGGGCGGCTAGGAGGAGGTAGGATGACAAGTGCTTAGAAAGGCAGAAGGCACAATAGTAACAGCTCGGATTTGAGCTAGTTTGACCTGGGTTCAAATCCCAGTGCTGCCATGTATACCTGGGTGGCTTCTGGGTGTAAACCTACCCAGGCTTCAAGTTCTTCATCTGCAAAATGGAAAGACATCAACTGCACTTACTTCTTAGGGAGGTAAATGAGTTAATAAACAAAACGTGTGCGACATGTAAAATGTTCCACTGTAGTCTCTCAAGGGAAAACTGTGAAGCTGTGATAGATCCCACCACCACCTTGCCCTTAGAGCTTTAAGCTAACATTCTCTCATTTGCTTCTCACACCAACCCTAGGAGGTCGGCTAGGTAGGAATTAGTGCCTCCGCTTTACAGCTAAGGAAACTAAGAGCCCAGGGATGTTCTCCACCGTAAAATGGAACAATTAAGAGCCCATCAGGATTGCCTCATCTCTAAATTGTAGACATGCCTTTTCAAACCAAGCCTACTTTCTTCATTTGATTGCAACTGATAGATAACAACTTTTTTAAACTGCATGAATTTTGCTTCATCCTACCAACTTCTACAAATTCTTTATTCCTGTCCCGCCCCTAGGTTCTTCAGAACCATTTTTTTTTTTGATTCTGTATATATACGTGTTAGCATACAGTATTTGTTTTTCTCTTTCTGACTTACTTCACTCTGTATGACAGACTCTAGGTCCATCCACCTCCATACAAATAACTCAGTTTCGTTTCTTTTTATGGCTGAGTAATATTCCACTGTATATATGTGCCACATCTTCTTTATCCATCCATCTGTCGATGTAGTCCAGGGACTTCTTGATGAGCATGTTTCTGTGCTGCTAAGTCAGGCACACACACCTGCACACCTGCCAGTTTCTTTGTTTATGAGTTATAAAGTCATTATTTGTTTATTTAACTTATTTATTTTAATTATTATAAGAGGCTTTACTTCTCCAAACTGGAAACAATCCAAATATCTATCACAGGAGAATGGATAAAGAAATCACAATTTATTCCAACAATGGGCTACTTCTGAGCAGCAAACAGGAATGAACTACAGATACATGTAACTACATGAATTCATCTCAAAAATGTTACGTAGAGTGAAAAAACATGAAAGGGTGCCTACCTTATACTACCATTTATATGCAGTTTTAGAAATGACAGAGCAAATCTAACGGTGATACAGAACATTAGCTGTCGGGTCATGGGGAGGTGAACATGAGGACTGACTGGAAATGGGATGCGAGGAGGCTTTATGAGGTGTCAGAAATGGTCTATCTTTAGACGGGAAGGTGGGTTAAAGGTTATATACATTAAAATTCATTGCACGGTACACTTAAGGGCTGCGCATGTAAATCATGTCCAATAAAAACTGTCAGCTGTAGGTTATGTAATAATTGTTTATTAAAAGGTAGCTTTTCCAGAAATACAGATATGACTAGACATGCCAACTATTTAGATGCCCACATTCATGCGGACTATTGACTAGCATTCAATAGACAAGAGCAGGATAATTTGGTAGAAGACAACAGATACCTTTGTTCTTGGACACTACGACCTTAAGGTAAGCAGTAACTTGAATCAAATTGTCCAGACTAGTAACTTGTTTAGTGACACATTGTTATTCACAATGTTGTTTTTAAATGTAGTCTTTTTTCTTTTATTAAGAAAGAACCTCCAGAGCAATAAACTCCAGCTACTTATCTCACTCCGGTATTCTTCTTATTTTCAATACATGTCTATCATATTTGCTTACTGACTCGATTTCTTAAAAATATTCAAACTCAGAAGAACCTCTCCTCTCCTTTGTGATCACATTTACATCCCTTCAGCCAGCAGGACATCTCAAAACAATGTACTATTGTTGACGATGAGGATGGGGGTAACTCTGGGCAAACCCCCCACCACTCCTGGGAAGACGACTAAGGCAGTGAATCACCCTGGAGGCCGTGTGCTGCCCTCTTGAATCTGGTGATCAATCTCCCCTTAGAGTGTGGGGAGGACAGGGGGCAGTGGCGGAATTGGGGGCTTTGGGACTCTGCAGACTACCCCAAGGAGAATTGATCAGATTTACCGACCCCATTGCTTGCCCCTCAAATCGGCAGAGCTGGAGGGAAAGGGAGAAACCCTACCCTCTCCCAAAATAAACAGCGGTGGGGACCCACTGCCCAGGCCCTATTTCTAGGCACAGAAACATTCCAAGTCTCTCTGAGCTCAGCTGTAACAGAAGCTCCTGGCATTACCACAATGCTTTAGAAAGCCCCATTTCTCTCCGCCTCACACTTGAGGTAGAACAGAAAGGGAGGGACAGGCAGGGAGGGAGAAGGCAAAGGCTAAATATTTTGTTCTCAGATATGAGCTTCCTCACAATTCCCAGCTGGTGCTTAATGGAAACCGGTGGGTGTGCTCTTGCCTAGTATGGCAGGAACTGCTCTTTCCTACGCTCTATGCTTTCCCTTTCTTCCAGACTTCCCTGTTTGGGGCTAGGTATATGTCTATTCAGAATAAGTACATTTCCCAGCATTCTCTGCAGGTGGATGTGACCAAGGACCAAGTTCTGGCCAATGGAAAGTGTGTGGCAGCCTCCTGGAACTTTCCTTGAAAGCTAGCCAGCATGCCCTTTTTCTCCTTTAACCCCTTAAGGTTCCTGCTTCTCCAGTGGCAGAAATGATGGCTAAAGCTCTTGCCACCATCTTAGATCATGAGGTCAAGGGTCACACTCTAGGGCCACACGCCGTGAGCTGGGAGGAGCCTGAGTTTTCAGTCCCTGAGGACTGCATAGAGCAGAGCTGCTATACCACGCTGGACTGCCACTTCCAGACTTCTTTCTTCTTAAGCCCATGTTCTGTCGCTCGTAGCTGAGTCTAATTGAAACTGAGGCAGGTGACATTCAGCAAGTCACTGAAAGCAAATGCATCAACCTGGATGGTATTCAGTGATGTCAAGCAAATTTTTTCAAAGGACTTCTCCTGAGGCCAGAAATATATGATGCTCAGTGAAAAGCATGATTCAGTGAAGAATCCTGAGAGGTGGGCCATCATATTCCAACTTCAGAGAGAACCTGTGCAGTCTGGGTGTTCACAGGTGTCCCAGTGGGTCAGAGGACTGAGAGGATGAAATCTGTAGCCAAAGTGACAAGTCTCAACCCAGGTCACGTGCTGTCACCAACTTCATGTAATTCGATGCATATTAACTAATTTTAATTCTATAACCAGCAGAAGAGGATATCTGGGCAGGCACTTTTCCTTTAAAAACTAGCTGTCTCACATGATGCCTGTTACTCAACCTCTCTGGGTCTTTTTATCTGCAAAATGAAGGGCGAGACATCCCCCTAGAAAGGTGGTCCCCAAAAGCTCCATGTGGCCTCTCCTGTTGCAGAGCACAGGCTCCGGACGCGCAGGCTCAGCGGCCATGTCTCACGGGCCCAGCCACTCCGCGGCATGTGGGATCTTCCCGGACCGGGGTACGAACCAGTGTCCCCTGCATCAGCAGGCGGACTCTCAAACACTGCGCCACCAGGGAAGCCCTGTGGGGTGGTTTTAAATGTTTTCATCTAGCAAAGTTAAAAGTTGGCAACGCTCTTCCTCCCCTTCTTCCCTCTCCTTTCCTTCTCTTCCTTCTTCCTTCTCCTCTCCTTTGTCTACTTCTTATTTTTCTGGGCCCAGCACTGGGCTGAGTACTTCAGACACTTTAACTCAGTCCTCACATCCATCCTAAGAGGCCAAAATTATCACCTTCTATTTTTTCAGATGGAGAAACTAAAACTCAGAGAGAGTAGTAGATTACTCAAGGGCACACAGCTGGCAAAATGCATTCACTTAATCTCTAGTTTCCTGCCTGCATATTGAACAGGAATAAGATTTGCAACAGGTAAGAGTAAATGACATGACGTAAGTAAAGCATCTTTTTTTTCTAATTGCAAAGCTATAAGGCAATATCTTTGAAACAATTTCTCTACAAACAGGAGAGTTAAAAAAAATGTTCTGTAAAAAACATACCTGTGTCCTTATGTGTAAACAGTGTAACTATGAAGAATATCTTAGTCTGAGGAAGTTTATTGTTACATTTTTGCAATAGGTGAGGCACAGCTGTCTCCTGCTTCTCCAACATCTCAATTAAAAAAAGAAAATAATCAAGGAAAACAGTGAAATTAAAATTAAACAAATGCAAACGCCTAAGGTTTTTGGAGAGAAAAATGACCATAATCTGTGTGTAGCACAGCATCTAGAGCATAGTGGGTACTTACAAACGGTAGCTTTCGTGTCGCTTCAGCAGCACATATACTAAAATCAGAACAATACAGAGAAGATTAGCATGGCCCCTGCTCAAGGATGACAAGCAAATCTGTGAACCGTTCATATTTTTTATGTATAACAAAATCACTTTGCTATGTAGCAGAAACTAACACAACATTGTAAATCAACTATACTTCAATTAAAGAAAAAAAAGAACGACAACAAAAAAAACCAGTAGCTTTCATTAATTCCTTCTGTCAGTACTTACTGAGCATCTAACATGTGCCAAACACCGTTATGTACCCTGAGATACAGCAGCTAAGAAAAGAGACAAAAACCCTTCTCCTTGGAGCTGATGTTCTAGGGCTTGTTACCTCTGTGATTACATCCTCTGCTACAGCTTTCACCCAGGTGTACTCTCTCTGCTCACAGGAGGAAGGAGAGAGGTTCGTGGCCATGCTCCACTCTGCAGCCCTTCCGATGCCACGGCAGCGCGGACATGGGGGAGAAGAGGTGCTCTCTGGGGGAAAAGGAAAGGTGACGGGAGGAGGACCTGGATAAAGGCTGGAGGCTAGAAGAGTCTGGCAACCGGAGGACCGGGACCTGGGGTTGGAATCTTCCTCCCAGCAGTTTGGGCAAATCTGGTGTCAGAGCAGAAAACCAAAGCTCTGCGGGTGGTGGTGCCTGCCTGTCCCTCCCACCTCCGGCCTCCATTCCACCCATGCCAGGAGGCTAGGTACCTTCTGGACTGATGGGAGGAATGTTGATAGGAGAAGATGGAAACTTCCCTTGGGCCCTTTGTGTCTCGGACCCCAGAGCTTTATAGGAGGAAAACGTAAAAAGTGAAAAGGTTTTAGGGCCAGAAGTTCCATTTCTGGCCTGTAACTTGCCATCTTTACCTCTTACCGCCTTTAAACCCTACTTCACTGGATTCTTGGAAGGATTAAAGGACTGGGTTCCTGTAAAAGCACCTGCTCATAGTAGGTTATGTATCCCTGTTGGGCTGGTTTGTTTGCCCAAGATTGGGATGAACAGATCGCTGGGAAGAGAAAGGGTGGGCTTCTTTTCCTCAGTGCCCTCCCTCACTTTCTGGCTGGGTCCACAGCCCAGTCCCCACACACTCTGCTCATTCCTGCTCTCCTATCTCCCAGGGTCCTCCCCCAGAGCAGACCCTGAAGCACCCCCAGAGAGCCCCTTGTATCCCAGGGAACCCAGTTTGCAAACTATGCAAAACTCTCCCAGAGAAATTTATTTCAGACTTTAGTACCAGCCTTTAAAAACGAGTTAATGTCATTAACCACAAAAACCCAAAAAAGAGTTGTGAGTACAAGAAAACCAGGAACTCTGGGGATGGGCTCAGGCACTGAGATTTTTTTCAGCAGCTCCCCAGGTGACTAAACCAGGGCTGGGAAGCATGGATTAAGGAGAATAATCACAACATAGAGGAAGTGCGTCAGTGCACAAATGCATAAGATGCTTTGGAAACACAGGTGAGTTAAAAATAAATTAAGCCTGGGCAAGGGAGAGGATGTCAGGAAAAGTCACAAAGGGGAGGTGACATCTGAGCTCAACTTTAAATGAGGGAAGGTGGTCTCTAGGGCCTCCCTACTTGAGATATGGTCTGCAGACCAGCAGCACTAATGTCTCCAGGGCGCTTGTTAGAAACGCATAATCCTAGGTCCCCTCCCAAACCTACTGAATGATAATCTGCATTTTAACAAGGTCTACAGGGACTTCTCTGGTGGTCCAGGGGGTAAGATTCCGCGCTCCTAATGCAGGGGGCCCGGGTTCGATCCCTGGTTGGAGAACTAGATCCTGCATGCATGCCACAACTAAGAGTCCGCATGCCGTAAGTAAGGTTCCCATGGGCCACAACTAAGACCCGGCACAGCCAAAATAAATAATTTAAAAAGTTTAAAAAATAAATAAAGTTTATTAACAAGGTCTCCAGGTTACTAATAGGCACGTTAAAGTGTGAGATGCCTTGGGCTAAATGCACAAGGTGAAGTGCATTTGCCATCATAAACCTGGCCAGTTTAGATTCATCAATGGTTTCCTACACCTGAGGTTGGTTTTTCTATTTATCTTTTAAAACCCAAACGTAATGTTCTCAAGGGTTGACCCGAATGCCATTCCATGATGACATCTGCAGGTCTGAAGGTGAGGACTGAGTGTTTTAGTCAATCCGCTAGTGGGGAATGTATTTATACTACAGGTGTGGACACTCTTCGATGGCTCTGGAGGTTGGACAGGCTGGGATGTAGGGCCTTTCTCGCACCAGATTTAGCTCTCAGTGCAGATAGACCAGTGTACTCGCCCTCAGACACATGTTGGGCACACAGCCTTCCTTGTGGGTACCATTTTAACTTGTGTCACATTTCTTAGGGATTGGTGGGGAGGTGGGGGTGGGGAGGCCCCTCTGAATGGCTGCACGTCCCACAGGCCAGCTTCCAGCCTCAAGGAGCCAACCCCGTGTTCTAGTTTAATTCCAGGTTCCAACTGGGTGTAGGGATAACTCCAGGCCGACATGTTTCAGCACAACCCAGGCCAATTTGGGTTTTATTCAGCCCCTTCTCTGCCCATCTAAGTAAGGAAATAAATCACTTTTCCCTGAAAATACCGTGAGAAATGAATTGTTTCATGCAAAGTCCACATACCTGATGTGTTCACACACTTATGGAAGGCAGCACTCTTCTGTGGGTGTGTACTAGGGGAAATCCTTCCAACCTTGGCAGGGTTTATGTGAGAACTGAATTAGGAACCCTACATCCCGCTCTCACCCAGGCACTCGATATGCCATCCTTTACACAACGCAGCTGCCCACACTGTGCGGCATGCGAGATCCTAGTTCCCCAGCCACAGATCGAACCCTCGCCCCCTGCAGTAGCAGCTCAGAGCGTTAACCACTGGACCGCCAGGGAAGTCCCGGTGCAGTTGCTTTAATGTCTGTCCTCCCGTCTTCTGTGGTGGCTGAGGCAGGTGCCGCGCTCCCGCCCGGCAGCGCCCATCCCACGTGTATGGAGACGGAGGACAGCACGAGTCCTCGAGACTGCTGCTCCCCAAGCTCTGTCCACAGACCTGGTAGCTGGGTTATAGGCTCTGTTCTTGGACCACGCCCCCCAGTTCCAACTGAAGAGTTTGGGGAACGCACCATTGAGACCACAACCTTCACCCACACAAGGTATGCCACAGTGTTATTTTTAAGTCCTCCAAGTAAACAAGAGTCTAAAATAGTCTTCCATGGTATTATTATTTTTTTGGCTTCTCCACGCAGCTTATGGGATCTTAGCTCCCTGACCAGGGATGGAACCCACACCCCCTGCACTGGAAGCGTGGAGTCTTAACCACCGGACCACCAGGGAAGTCCAGTGTTCCATTGTAAATAGCAGTTCTCTGAACGCTTTTCCTTCTACCGACATAAAACTCTTATACTGGAGAGAACGGTCTCTCCTCTTTGCCACGGAAGGCCATCTACCTGCATGATTTATCCCACCTAGCCTCTGGACTCCATCTTGCCACGTCTGTTCATAGCCCTTACCCTTCTCAAGTTTTGTGGTTATTATTTGCCCCAAGCCCTACCCTCCTCCACTTGAGAGTATGCCTTCTTCCTGCATCTGTGACACACTCTTCTGGTTCTCCTTCCATTTCTCTGATCAACCCTTCTCTTCCCACCTAAATAAATACTCCCAAGCTCTCGTTTGCAGGCCTTCTCTCTTCCGCTTCTCTCCTTAGGAGTTTTGTCCACCTTGATAGCTTCATTCATTGAGCACATTAGGGAGGGTAGTCCCAAATCTTTACCTGCCTCCAGCCGCAGACCAGTGTTTATAACTTTTTACTTGACATCTCCACTTGCTTGCCAGACCAAACTCCTCACCTTCCACTGGAATAGCGCCTTCGCCTGGCTTCCTGGTCTCCGTCAATGTCAGCACACAGGCGGAGGTTCTCAAACATCACTGAGCTTAACATTATTATCATTATTTTCCTGCCTCATTGGTTCCCTGAAACTCAGCAGCTCTCCATTTTCCAAATTCATGCTCTCCCTTCTGCTGAGGTTTACAAAAAGATTGAACCAAATCAAAGTGGTTTCAAAGAGTTCTGTCTCAACTTACTCACAGCCCAGAACACTGATTATCCTTGACATACATGGCCCAGACCAGACCCGTCCAGTTTCTTCCCCAGGTTTATTCTAAGCGGAATGAACCTGGAAGGACCCTTGACACCAGGGTCATGGAACTAGAAGGATGAGAACCCAAGACTTTTGTGCATTTGGTGGAGTGTCTGCTCGCTGTTCCCTAGACACACCCAAGCTTTCCTTCTCCATGTTAATATTCCCTCCCCAGTTGAAATTATACCTATCCATTGCTCAGAATTTACCATAAATAACACTACTCTTCGAATGCTGTAATCTCCCCCTCCTTTGAACCATGCCCGCTGCCACTGTAAGCTTCTTAATGACTGAAAGCTGTTTCCCATGCATTTCTTTATCTGTCACCGCCCCCTCCCCTCACCCAGGCACAAGGCCTTGAAGACAAGTGCACAATACATGTTGGTTCCTCATTGTCAAAGAGGTATGTCTGATCATCAGTTTTTGTATAACACCTATTTCTTTTATTCTTACATGCACATTTTTCACAATTTAATATGGGTGAAGTCAGGCTTCATCTTATAATCACTGGCTGCAATAATTTAATTAGCAGCATTTTTTCTTTCTTGGTGGTACATAAACTATGGGTGCATCTTACACTTGATAGGGTCTTAGATTCAGTGAAATAAAGTATCATTCAAGCATCCCTGATAACAATTCTGTTTACTCTTCTATCTTCCTGTCTCTAAGGTGAATCGCTCCGTTCTCAAAATTTCCTTAGTTCCTGTTCTCTACTCCTACTGTTGTGTCCTTTTTACCTCACTTAATTTTCTACTTTTCTCAAGTAGAGTCAGATTATCACACTGCAATAAAGCTGTGCTAAATCTGATGGTGTCATTGGTTCATGGTCCCACATGATAAAATGCTATTTACAATTCTACATGTTTGCTACAGAACGAACTCCAGTTTCACTGTATAAGCTAGTTAAAATACATCTTTTTTTTTTTTTTTAAGTGTGATCAGGCCACCATGTTATATGAGCCTCAATTTATGAAGACAACGTAGTCAGCAGCAGAGCAGTATTGGAATTACATAAGACCACCAAAGCAATAGGATATATTTAACGACAATGTATCAATAATTATCATTCTTTGAGTAGCACTGTGGCCTAGGAGAGTCTCTAGAGAGTAGAAGTTTCTAAACATGTCCAGGTGCCCTGTACCATCCAATTTCCTTGTTTATGTACCTTCATTCTTCATTTGTCCCTGAAGCTGGGAGAGCCGCTGGTCTTGGGCCAGGCAACTCCATGGAGGGGAAGCTGTCCTGATAAACACTGGGAGGGATGGGGGACCTGCTGTGACCCCTAGAGTTGCAGAAAAAGCTGGTCTCTCACCTCTTCCTACAACCTAGGATCCAGCCAAAACAGACGACTTGCCCCGCAAACTATACTCTGCAATCCCAAACTTTCCTGCCTCTCTCATGCCTTTGCTCAGGCCAGTCCTTCCATCTGCAGTAGCACTGTGTAACAGGACTTTCTGTGACTGTGGAAATGTTCTCGAGGTCTGCACTATTAAATACAGTAATCGCTGGCCACATGTGGCTGTTGATAGAGCACTTGAAATGTGCCTAGCACAACATGGCAAGAACTGAGTTTTTAATTTTATTTAACTTTAATTAACTTAAATTTAAATAAATATATAGCCAGTGGCTACCATATCGGACCGCACGTATCTGGCATGTACTTTCTACATGTGCACCTAGCATGAACATTTCTTCTCCAAATCCCCAACCTTCAAGGAGCAGCTCAGAAGCTGTTTTCTCCACGAGATCCAGTCTTCCACTGGAAATCATTCTTTCCTTCCTTAGAATTCCCATTACATGATGAACCATTTTTGTTGTGCTTAATACTTTTTTAACTTACACGTAATCGTATACGATATCCTTGACCAGTCCTTTTTCTGAGAGCTATACAAGAATAAGATGATCTCTTACTCTTAATGTGGACCCTACTATATCTAGTGCAGGGATTTTTTAATGTTTGCTGCATGAATCTATACTAGAAGCAGAGTAATTCACATTAACAATGAGGAATTGACAATGATTGCTGTGCAGTAAAGGATTAACCTTGACAAAAGAAAGGTTTGGGCCTTGGCCTCTAGCTCCTGGGAGGTAACTTCTAAACCCCTGGACTGTCCTGCCTGATTGGAGGGTCTTTGTTCACCTGGGGGCCTACGGCCATGCCAGATGGTCTAAGCTAACAATGTGATTTATGATGGGGTCTCAGGCTGAGATTTATCAGCTCAGCCTCTGAAGGAACTGGAGACTAAGGTCAGCCATACAGGCGGTCAGCTGTATTCAGATGGCCAGCCCCCAGTAAAAACTCTACACTTTGATGGGTTTGGGTGATGTTTCCCTGGTTGGCAATACTCAGTGCATGTCGTCACACATTGCTGAGAAAAATAAGCACTGGCACAGGGCAGCTATTCAATATTTAATGAATGGTTGAATGGATGTATGAATGAATGATGTCCCTTAATATTGCAAAATCATGCGAGTTGCCAGACTCACCCAGGTCAAATCATTTCATCTGGGATCTGAGTTTTCTTTTTCTTTCCTAGATGGGCACTTAATCCAGTGTAGGGTTTACAGATTTTTTTATTCCTATTTTGAATCTTAATTTCCTGTCTCCTATCCAGAATGCCCCTAAGCTTGTCCTTCATTTTTCCCTTCCCTTTATAGCTGAATCCTAGGCTTCATAAGGGTCTCAGAACATTCATCTGGGAGGCATTTGAGTCTTTTTTTATTGGAGGGAGGCTCTCATGAACCTGTTCACACACAAGAACAGAAGAAGACAGTCCCAGAGCGGCAAGAAGTGGGACACAACACAGCATGAACAATGAGCAAGCCCACGAGGCCTGGGGGAGGGCAGCTGGAGGGCCCCTGGGCTCCTCCGGGAGCCAGGATGCTGCTTGAGGTGGTCCAGGGGCTGCTGCTCTGTCTGTGAGGGGTCACGCTCAGCAGGTCCACGTGTGGGCGGCCGGCCAGACACCAGAGATGTCCGTGCCCTTCCCCAGGCATAGCCTCAGAGCTCCTAGGCTAACACTGACCAATAAATTAAGTTGAAAAATATGTAGGAAGCTGGGAATATCAACCGGGAGTATTTGTCGATGGCGTGGGTGTTCTGGAAGATGCGAAGACCCACCTGGCCCTTCAGAAGCCCCTTCTTCCTGGAGGAGTTGGATTCACTGCTCAGGGCCAGGTGGACCACTATTTTGTCTTGCCTTTCTTCTTCTGTCAGAATATGGCTTCTCGGGTACCCGGCCAGGCTGTTGGCCTCAGACTCACTGTAGCTTCCACCCAACATCATGGTTCTTGAGTGGAGCATTCCACACATGCATGGGAACTGTGGGCAGCAAACACAAGGGGAGATGTCAGGCATGTTTCGGCCTGTGAGAGGCCCAGGGGAGGCTGCCTGGGCTGAGAGTAAAGCCCATGGCTTCTCAGAACCACAGAAAAGGCAGAACTAGAAGCATCTCCAGAGATCACTTTGTCCAACGATTCTCTATCCTGGCTGTGTATTGGAGTCACCTTGGGAGCTCTTTAAACTGGCCATGCCCAGGCTCCACTCTAGACTAATTAATTTAAGGCTCCCAGGTGATTCTGCTATGTAGCCAGGGTCCAGAACCACTGATTTAGTTCAAATGCCCTCAATTGCAGAAGGAAAAACTAAGACCAAGAGAGGCTATACAATTCTCCTGGGATCAGACAGTTAGTGTCAGATTCAGGACTTTAAACACACATCTTCTGGTTCCAGCCGTGGACCTCCACCACTATGTGCATGAATCAAAAGATGATTAGGTAGGAGAGTGTCCTTATTCTAAAGAGTTCCACTTAAGGGTAAAGGGTCATGGTACCTATCATGTATTTTTATTTTTATTTTTTTATTTATATATTTTTTCTTAGATAATCCTCCAAGTTTTTTTTTTAAATTGATGTATAAGTGATTTACAGTGTTGCATAATTTCAGGTGTACAACAAAGTGATTCAGATATATAGAGAGATAGATACATACACATATATATAAAACGTTTTTTCAGATTCTTCTCCATTATAGGTTATAACAAGATAGTTCCCTGCACTATACAATAGGACCTTGTTGTTTGTCTCTTTTATATATAGTAGTGTGTATCCGTTAACCCAAACTCCTAATTTATCCCCCTCCCCACTTTCCCCTGTCATGTATTTTTTAATGGTTCAGCTGCACCAACAAAAGTATGTTTATATGAGAAAAAGCTCACACAAAAATGGCAAAATGTCAACAATGTTGGATGGAGGGGCAGGGTGTATGAATGTATATTATCCTATTTTTTTCAACCATTTCCGTGAGTATGAAAATGTTTATAAGAAATTATAGGGTGGAGGGAAGGGAATGGTCTTGTCTAACTCCTCCCCACCGTTAGAGTCAGCAAAGCTGACTCCGGTTAACAGCTGGTTCATGAACCCATATTTGTTGGATGAAGGCTTTGCTATGTTTTTTTCTTTTTTAATTTTATTTATTTATTTTTGGCTGCTTTGGGTCTTCATTGCTGCGGCATGGGCTTTCTCTAGTTGTGGCGCGCGAGGGCTACTCTTCATTTCAGTGCTCGGGCTTCTCATTGCAGTGGCTTCTCTTGTTGCTGAGCACGGTCTCTAGGTGCACAGGCTTCAGTAGTTGTGGCACATGGGCTCAGTAGTTGTGGTGCATGGGCTCAGTAGTTGTGGCGCATGGGCTTAGTTGCTCCATGGCATGTGGGATCTTCCCGGACCAGGGCTCGAACCTGTGTCCTCTGCATTGGCAGGCGGATTCTTAACCACTGCGCCACCAGGGAAGCCCTGAGGCTTTGGCATGTTTTGAATGACTCTATACAGGAAAGTCCAATGCATTATAAATCAAAAGTATTTAAATATAATCCAAAGGTATTTGATAATAATCAATGTACAGATTATTGAAAATTTAAACAAGGATTCACATACCCAAGTAAAAAAGGTTTGTGTTTGGCTGTTGCTGGCCAGAGGTATGACGCCTGCCTGATCCAGCCAACTGACCTTGGGTTTATTCTCAACCTGTTGGCTTTAATATGTTTCTAACCTGGCTCTCAGCCCTGTGGTGCCTCTGTTTTTCCATCTGGGAAAGTGAAATAATGACATTTCACACATTTCCTCCTATTGTCATGGATCTTGAAATACGCACGCAGATGGATACCAGGAAGCTTTAGAACGCAAAAATAGGTGAATGATTTTATGTCAAATCAGAATGACTTGAAGTACTTTTACACTTGAAGAAATCTGTGGTTTGGAGAGCTATTTTTTAAATCAGGCATGATTGTTTCATTACTATTTCTATGTCTTATCCCATCAGCAACAATAATTAAGTAGCACATTAATACATTCCTAGAATAATTAACTCATAGATTTTAAGGATAGAAGGTCAGGGAGAGGTCATCTATTCAATTCTTTGCATTTAGATAAAATCACACCCAAACTTTGGTAAAATTGTGAGATATTGTTATATCACTGGGGACTTCTTTTTTTGTAAGACATGGGTCTTCTTTTTCCTTGCTCTAAACCGAAATTCTTTCTGCTAAAATAAAAAGAGACATTTAAGGTTTTGAGTTAAAATCAGGAAATGCCTCAAATTATGGAAAATCTCTTTTTCCCACATCAGCTCATTTCTAAGAAAAATTAAGTGGCACCTGGTGCATTGGACAGGTCTGGATGATCAGCCAAAGCATTCAAGCACATATAGGGAAGCAGAGCTATACTCTGCCTGCTGGCTTCAACCCAAAGCAGCGTGGGTCCCCTTTTGAACCATGGTGAACCTAGCAGGCTCCAGTCAACTTTGCCCTCTGCAGAGCAGAAGTCAAACCTCAGTGAGCATCAGAATTGCCTGGGAGCTTGTCAGCAAGGCCAATTCCAGGGTGCCATCTCTGGAGATTCTGAGCCTGTAGGTCTGGGGTACAGCCCTTAATCTTCATCTTTAATAGGCTGAGAAGGTGAATCCAGGCCAGGTGCTCCTGGGCTCCCACTTTGGGAACCTCAGCTCCACTGGGGGCCATGTTAACGTTGTGAACAGTGGCTTCTCTGTGGGGCAGCGGGAGAGAGATTTCGCGTCCTCCCACCGGTCTGCCTCCCCAGCAACCACAGCTTCTCAGCCTTTCAACTGCGTGCTTGACAACAATGGAGAACAAGCCCTCACTCCCCGGCTGTCTGTTCCCATAGACATGGAGCTAGACGCGGAGCCCAAAGGGCTGTCCACGTATGATTTCCTCATTGCTCTTTAGCCAGCATCGTATCATCACTGGCAAACACCGGGCCCATCATATGGTAACAGGTTAATAATGATCTGCCTGAGTACAAGTTATGTGCTGTTAATGGTTCATGGGCGCATATCTGTCGGATGAAGGCTTTGCTATTTTTTGAACAGCTCTACACAAGGAAAGCCTAACAGATTACAAATCAAAAGTGTTTAAGTATATTCCAAAGGCATTTGATAATGATCAATGCACAGATTATCAAAATTTGAGGGAATTCCCTGGTGGTCCAGGGGTTAGGACTCGGCACTTTCATTGCCAAGGGCCTGGGTTCGATCTCTGGTTGGGGAACTAAGATCCCACCAGCTGGGACAAAAAAAATTGAACAAATCCTCAAATGCTGAAGCAAAAGTATTTTGAAGACAATTTAAAATATAAACTCTTAAACAATCTAGCATATTTGAAGACAATTGGAAATATTTAACAGGTATAATGTGGGCATTAAAAGACTATTTTTAAAAAAGGCAACAGGTCCTCTTTCCTAAAATTTAAAGCTCCCTTTGCTAAGGAGCTCCCAGCCAGCTAGACACACATAAATGTGGAATTTTCACGTCCCCTGATCTCTACAACTTTTAGGTAAACACCCATTTTGATCAGTACAATGACTAGCAAGGATTTGGTAACAAGTTGGCATTTTATTTCTTAATGTGATTAATAAGAGTCCGCATATGAAGAGGATAGATTTTCCCTCTCTGCCCAGGAGCATTGCCCTGAATTCCCCCTTTGCATTCCATCCCATAGTAGACTTTACTATAGTGCAGTATCATATAGATAGCATAGTATTTCCAATGAGTCTAAAGGCTAAGGTTGTGTGTGGCTGAATTTTCACTGGGCCAGAGCACTGATAAATACAGGAGTTTTTTATTCTAGAACTTTCCTCTTGTCTGTTCACAGGACGTAAAGACATTCTCCCTAGACAGGTTCAGTAATGATAGTGATAATTTATGTGCATCTAGAACCACACAGTTTCAAAACAACTCTCATACATTTTTGTAAGGGTATTGTGACCCTTACAATAACCCTGGGAGGAAGGTGGGGCGAGGGTTCTGTTATACTTTTTTTTAACAGATGAGGAAACTGAGGCCCAACATAAATGGCAGAGTTGGGCCCAAGAACCCAAGTCTTCCTAGTCTTTGTCCAAAGGCTTTCTACTTTCTGGGATCCTTTGTGATGGAAGCTAGAATATTCTAAAACGGATCCTCCTCCTTTTGCACAAACATCTCCCTTTTCTCCATGAAAGCTCCCTCCCGCTATTCTCATCCAACCAGCAGCATGGGCTCCAACAAGGAAATGAATGAAACTTCTCTCACCTTCTCCTGCAGCTTCCGCTGTTTCCTCTCCTGCACGGTGGTCAGGTAGTTGACGGCCGCGTACTCCAGCACCGAGAGGAACACGAACACGAAGCTGACCCAGAGGTAGATGTCCACGGCCTTGATGTAGGACACGCGGGGCATGGAGGCGTTCACACCCGTGATGATGGTGGACATGGTCAGCACCGTGGTGATCCCTGCAGCATCCAGCTTTAGTTCAGCCACTGACAAGGGTACACAGCTGCCCTCACATTTCACTAAGTCCCTTTTTTTTTTCAACTATTAACCATTTTATATAGATTTTTGTAGTATGTTTCTTCCAAGGTCTTATGATGCTTAAAGAGATTTTATGTATAGTAGTGTGTATACGTCCATCCCAATCTCCCAATTTATCCCTCCCCCTCTGGTAACCATAAGGTTGTTTTCTACATCTGTAACTCTATTTCTGTTTTGTAAATAAGTTCACTAAGTCCCATTTTACATTTGCTCTCTCTCTTTTTTTTTTTAATTTAAAAAAATTTTTTTTTGCGGTACGCGGGCCTCTCACCGTTGTGGCCTCTCCCGCCGCAGAGCACAGGCTCCGGAAGCGCAGGCCCAGCGGCCATGGCTCACGGGCCCAGCCGCTCCGCGGCATGTGGGATCTTCCCGGACCTGGGCACGAACCCGTGTCCCCTGCATTGGCAGGCGGACTCTCAACCACTGCACCACCAGGGAAGCCCCATTTGCTCTCTCTTACGTCTAATAGGAAGTGGCCAGGGCACGTTTCCACCTCATAGAGGTGTGAGGATCTGCAAGGATCTGCTCCCGAGCAGCCAACCCATTCTCCTCCCAGCCAACTGCCTGTCCACTTTCACTCTGAGCCACTTGGGAGCCTGGGTTTCTGTGATGTGGTTGCTAAGATCAGCAGAGCTTCCCAAAGGATCTGCTCAGATGTGGACTTTAAAACAGTGGCTATGAAAATCAACTCTACTTCAATAAAAAATAAAAATTAAAAAGCAGGGGCTCCAAGACCCCTCTCAAGGAACCTTCCCAAACTTCAAGGAAAGAACACATCCTCCCTCACCTGAGTCCAGGAAGACTGTGGAAATTCCTGGAATTTCCTGTCATACAGGTTTCTTCTTCACTGTGCCTTGCTGGTCCAACCCTCACATGTCTCAGTGCCCAACCTGATTTTGTCCAAATCTCGATGATGAGTTGCAAATGTTTACTCTGGCATTTAGGGTCTGTGAAGGACTAAACCACAGCTCCAGGGAGTACAGCCCTCTCCTTCCCAGAAATCATGAAATATGGGCCCTGCTCCCAAACTCTCAGTCTGTCTAAATAAGGCCAACGAAGTTTTTGTATTTGCATGGTAAGTTTGGGCATTTGTCGAATTGTCTTATTTATCAAAGTACTGAGCTCTGATACGGCCAGTGGTGGAAGTCTACACCCCAGGTAGGTGTTATCTTTCTGAAACGATTTGAGCAGAGCTGATGCGGTTTGAGCGCCCTGTGGTTTTCACAGTGTAGTCTGGGAAACTGAGGGCAGTATGTGAATGGAAAGCAAGAAGCAGGAGGAAAGTTCGCTCCTTCTGACTCTGACAGCCCATCGGTTAAGGACCCTGAATGATGATTTTACTTCTTCTTTACATAGTGATTGATTGAAAAAAAAAAATAACCACCCTATCACACCTTATCAAATGCTTTTACCCAGTGAAACTCTGGCGGGCACAGCTCTGCGGTCGATCCAGAAGGACACCCAGGACAGCATGACCATCAGGGTGGCGGGAAAGTAGGTTTGCAGCAAGAAGAAGAAGATGTGGCGACGCAACGTGAAGTTAATGTAGAGACGGTTGTACCAGCCTGGGGGACACAGGAAGAAGCCAGTGAGGTTCCATCGCAGAGGCAAAAACAAACTCCTTCCCTGGGGGCCCTTCCTCCCCTGTCACCACACTCATCTTCAGCAGAAAGTTAAAAGTTAATGATTCAAGGGGCTTCCCTGGTGGCGCAGTGGTTAAGAATCTGCCTTCCAATGCAGGGGACGTGGGTTTGATCCCTGGTCAGGGAACTAAGATCCCACATGCTGCGGGGCAACTAAGCCTGCGTGCCGCAACTGCTGAGCTCACACAACACAACTAGAAAGCCCATGCACCACAACTACTGAGCCTGCATGCTCTGGAGCCCCGGCACCACAACCAGAGAGAAGCCTGCACACCACAACGAAGAGCCCTCACACTGCAGCAAAAATATCCCGTGTACCACCACTAAGATCTGGCACAGCCAAAAGTAAATTAAAAAAGAGTTAATGATCCAAAAAAAGAAAAAAAGGGAATTCCCTGGCGGTCCCGTGGTTAGGACCCCTTGCTCTCACTGCTGGGGCCTGGGGTCAAACCCTGATCGGGGAACTAAGATCCTACAAGCCTCACAGTGCGGCCAAAAAAAAAAAGTTAATGATTGGTTGGCTTAGTATAATACATTTCCTTTCCAAAATCTAATCTCTCTAAGTCTCAGTTTTCTCATCTGTAAACTGGGGATACTACGATCTACACCATAGATTTGTTGGGTAGAAATTAGTTAATTCATACAAAGCACTCAAAACAGTGACACATAGTAAAAGTTATACTGGGAACTCTTAAAAATGGTTTTAGAAAGAGAGTTGATTTGAACTTGCCAAGAACAGATGAGAAAAGAAAATTGTGTGGCAATGCACATCAGAGCAAAAGAGAAGAAAGGGGGCTTCCCTGGTGGCGCAGTGGTTGAGAGTCCGCCTGCCGATGCAGGGGACACGGGTTCATGCCCCGGTCCGGGAAGATCCCACATGCCGCGGAGCAGCTGGGCCCGTGAGCCATGGCTGCTGAGCCTGCGCGTCCGGAACCTGTGCCCCTCAACGGGAGAGGCCACAACAGCGAGAGGCCCACGAACCACAAAAAAAAAAAAAAAAAAAAAAGAGAGAGAGAGAAGAAAGGGATGGGGGTGAGCAGTATGGGCATAAAGGGAAAGTAGGTGTGGGCTGTCCTGACACCAAGGCAACCTTGGCTGGGGCCCGCTCTTCTCCAGTGTTTGACGTTGCGAACAGAAGGGTGGGGCTGGGGGCAGGCGAACGGGGAGATGGTGGCCATGCAGGGGCAGACGGTAGCCCAAAAGCTTCTCACAGCCAGGCCTAGGCTTCTCAGCACTGGGACAAAGGGTAAGGAAGTGAGAAGTCCTCCAGGGTCCCGTGGCTGCTGCAGAGCAGCTCTATACTGCAGAGCTGTGTAGCATATAAAGGTATGTTGAAGTCCTAAATCCCACCACCTGTGCATGTGACTTTATTGAGAAATCGGGTCTCTGTACATGTAATCAAAGTAAGACGAGGTCATATCGAGTTAGGGTGGCCCATAATCCAGTGACCAGTGTCCTTAAAGAAGAGGGATGTTTGCACATAGATGCACAGAGACACACCATGGGAAGACCAGAGTCACAGGGAGAATGCCACGTGACAACAGAGGCAGAGGTTGGAGTGATGCCATAACCACCAGGACCAGTAAGAGGCAAGGAAGGAGTCCTCCCCAGAGCCTTCAGAAGGAGCATGGCGCTCAGGCTTCTGGCCTCCAGCACTGTGAGTGAACACATTTCTATCGTTTCAAGCACCCAGTTTGTGGTACTCTGTTAGGACGGCTCTAGGAAACTAACACAAGGGCTGACAGTGAGATTCAAGAAAAGCGGACAAATGGATCCTCTCAAAACTTCAACCATGGCCCCAAGGTCCAAGAAGAGGTCACACTACGCATAAGAAGTGAATCTATAGCTCTGAATATAGGAAATAAATACATAGGTAAATCCAGTAATAAATACATAAATAAATAGGTAATAAATACATTTCCCCACATCGTTAAGTCAAACGAATCAGGTTGCAGAATAGCGTGTACACTCTGACCCTACTTTTGTAAAATTACATAATTAAAGCAGGATGTCTGCAAGGGTGTTTGCTGAATTGTTCAGAATGACTACCTCTGACCATGGAGTTTCAGAGGGCAGCAACTTTTAAAGCCTCTGCTTTTAAGTGTTGTTTATGTCTCGTTGGACTGGGCATTATTAGAATAATGAAAAGTTATTTTCATTGGAAGTGGAAAAAGTTAACACTGAAAAAGAATTCTCATGTGTTTTCTTCCACATTTGAATCCGACCATGGCAGAAGTTAGCTACCAGTGCTGCTATAGAAGGCCAGTCTGGAAGTGGTGTGGAATTTCTGAATCAGAAACTGAGACAGGGAGATCTTCTCATCTGTTTTCAGGGATTCATCCCCATTCTTCCAGTACAGCATCAGATCTTCATCTGTATATGCATCTTTGGGAAGAGGAAAATAAGTTAATTTCACTCCTTTTCTTCTGAGGCAGAAGCAACAGGGCCATCCTACCTCAGCCAGGGATTAAATAGGTCTTATCCCTGGCCGGCAGTACTCAGTCTCATAGTTACTAAAATGGCACAGAGAGGGAATAAGGCAAAGATTTGTCATTACGAATACAGACACTTACAGCTTTCCAGCTCCAAAGAACAGGTCTGGGAGTCCAGGGGAAAGTGGCTGAAATCCATGTTGCACATGGCGGTGACTGTAATCCTAGAACCCAAACAAACATGTTGGCTCGTGCAGTGAGTTACTGGCTCATATACCTGCCCAGAGTAAGGAGGACAAAGACACGACCAAGGGCAGCTGCCTCTGCACGTCTACGTCAGAAGCTCGGAAACCCAGGACTCTAACTTTTTTTTTTTTTTTTTTGCCGCACGGTACAGCATGTGGGATCTTAGCACCCTGACCAGGGATCGAACCCGTGCCGCCAGCATTGGGAGCACTGAGTCTTAACCACTGGACTGCCAGGGAAGTCCCTCTAAGTTAACTTTCAGAGTTTTGTCTTCTGTAGATGGTGGTATTTGCTCTGCCCGGATCCCAGCTCCTGAGGCTGCTGGCTGTGCATGGCCCACACCTGGACCCTTCTCTGGGCATTGCCCACATCCAGAGACTCGTCTTCCCCAGAGATGCCCGGAGGTTATGCCCTGCCTCCCTAGCCCCGGCTCAAAGCTATTAGCACTGAATTCTGGCGAACTGTACAAGGTGTGGGATGAAACTGTGTAATCACTCAAGTCAGCCCAGAAGCCAATCTGCAGCAGCACCTAATAAAGAGTAGCTATGGTTATTTTCCTAATTTCTGTTTATTACCAATAATTACCTACTTTTGTTTATTACCAATAAACTAGAATCATAGCTCTCAGGGGTGGAGGGTACATAGAAGGTCACCGTCTCCCTCAGATCATTCAGGTTCAATTAGTCTCCTAACCTAACCTTAACACCTCCGATGACAGGGAAGTCAGCACCTACTACGGTGCTCATTTCGTCTTTAGAGAGTTCTAACTATCACCAGAAGGTTCAGACCCTCCCATGTAAGCCGCAGACCCAAACACAGTGACAAACTCTTCGGGGCCAAAGGGACAGACCACACATATACATTTTTTTTTTTTTTAATAGAGGGTTTTTTTTGTGGTGGTTTTTAAACCAAGAGTTGACTAGCTAATTCATTCCACAAATACTGTTTTCTCACCTACTGTGAAAAGCACAGTTTAGCTCTGACGATACAGTGGTAAATCAGTCAAACGATCCCCGGCATTGTCCACACATATTAGGATGCCATGACCCCGTGGACAGGTACCTCAGGCTGTACAGCACCTGCCCATCTGGGAACACCCTCAGCATGATGTTGTCCGTGGTGGTGTCGTGGATGAATGACCTTTTGGAGTGAACAAAGAAGACGTCGGGGACCCAGATCTTCTTCACCAGCCGGCCGTCGAAGGTCATGCTCTTGTTGCTGGTGCTGGGGAAGACCAGCCGCTCATCCTTCCAGTAATGCCGCAGGTAGAGGGTCATGGTGAAGTCCTGTGGGAGTGGGGGGGAGACCAGACAGAGATGGCTTACAAAGCTCTCTTCCTGACAGCCGACCCTCCGTCCACCGCTGTGACGGACACCTCAGGCTCAGCCTCCCGAGTTGAAGGAAAGAGTTCTGCAGCCCCGCGGGACGATGGCCAAGGCAGTGGCACTGCTGCCACAGGAAAGAGAATGGCTCATGTTTGTGCCTCATGAGGTTGGAGCCCAAGAGACAGCACAGCCCCTCCTTCAGGCTTTGCAAAGGAAAATGGCAGCTGTGATGCCCACCGCCTGCCCTGGGGCCAGCAGGGCTGGATTCCCACAAAGCCCTGCACTCTCACCTAGACCTTTGCATACATGGCTCCTTACCTATTGGCTAACCATTCAATTCAACTTAGCAAACACTTCTAGAAACCTGAACAGTCAAGTATCCCATTTTGCCTTTGTGTGTGTGTGTGTGGCCACACTGTGTGGCATGCGGGATCTTAGTTCCCTGACCAGAGCTCAAACCTGTGCCCCCCTGCAGCGGAAGCATGGAGTCTTAACCACTGGACCGCCAGGGAAGTCCTAAGTGTCCAATTTTGGAGGGTTTCTACCATTAGGCTTGTCGTATCTTTAAAGGCAGAATTGTTTCCTGCCCACCCCTGAATCTCCAGACCCTGGTTTAGTGCCTGGCAAGGCACAATAGTGGGTGCTCAACAAATATCTTCTGCAGAATGGAAAAATGAGGGGAAATGAATCAATGGGGAGATGGGCAGCTGCATGTCTAGTATAATTTCAGCCTGAAGGCTTATCCTGTTAAAAAGTGTCTCCTCGTCTGCACAGCCGATGCCTGAAACCAAGAGTGTAGCCCTTACACCGTAGCCAGAGCTAATACATGAACGCCAATGAATAAATAACTACCCAAAAGAGCCTGTTCCAGGAGCAGGTGAAGGAAGGCTGGAAGGACGCATGCGGTGGCCCACGTCTGCTCTGCCAACCACACCCAGGCTCCTCCTGCCTGTCCCGGAGGCCCGCCCGTGGAGGGGGGCACCGCCCCACTGGCCCACCTCTGCAGCCCCTCTCTTCCCCGTTTTGTCCGCCACTCTTTCAGTTTGCAAACTCCCTGTTCTTCTGCCTCAGAGACCTCGTATGCGCTCTTGCTTGGCCCTCCCTACAGCTGTCAGGTCTCAGCTGAAACGAGGCTTCTTCAAAGACGCTCCGGTACCCGCCTGAGCCTGCTGGGCGCTGCCAAGGAGTGAGCCGGGAAGCTGTGCTCCCGGCGGGCGCTGGCGCGCAGACAGCCCCTCACACCGCTAAAGGGGCGTGTTCAGGACGTAGCGGGCTGGGCCTCACTCCCATAAACCGAATCAGGAAGTCTGGGGCGGGGCCTTGGAGCTGCATTTA